ATATTGATCATCTCATCAGAACAGATGTGTTGAAAGCTCTTGCACATCAGACTGTTATATATGGGACACTTCTACATTTGATTCTAGGTTGATATGATCTCTGTCATTTGGATATTATAAGAATGTGTGCAGGGAATTGTTATTTTTTATTATTGACTTTTTCTCCATGCTCTGGTCTTTTCTGTAATGTTTGTAATTTGTAAGTGTTTCAGCTCTATTGTTCTTGCATGTGATGGCTGAAAGTTTCCATTTAAGCTGGAAACACAAAGAAAAATCTCTCCTGATTGTCTGTTATACTGAGTTCAAAAAGAGAGAAGGATATTTCACGAGTTTTGGTATTTCAGGAAAAATTCTGGTCGCAGAAACTCCATTTCTAGGTTTATGATTATCGGAATTACTTCTCTTCATTAATGGCCATCATCAGAAAAACCTGACATATTTTTTTCATTGTATGTACAGACCATTCTAGATATAGTGATCCCTATTAAAACTGCCATTCATTATTGATATGATTCTTTAAACATAAAAAAGTGTGTGTTTCAAATGTACAACTGATTAAAAAGTACACACTAAGGTAGTTCACATATACATTGGAGTACCATAGCTTTTTTTGTGGGGAATGACATACAGTGTGCACTTATTTAGCATTCAATTTGGAGTACTTAACCCTTTATGATCTGATAATGAATAAACAGTCATGATATTGAGAAGAATGAGTAACAGAATTTCATAAGGGTGTACTCTTGTACGGTTACTGATCGAAATGATAGTTTTTTGGCAGTTGGAAAATTCAGACAAGTCTGCTACATCATATTTATCATTAGAACTTATTTTACAATGAAAAGGAAGTAGATCTGACATTGAAATCCCCTTGAGAAAGGAATAAGCAACTGTTAAAGATACATTCCTGTGGGAAGACATGTAGTACGAGTAGTGAATGCTAATATATATTCGTCCTTAACAGGTCTGTCCTAGGAATAATCATCTTTCTATATGCATCAGTCACACAGACATTTAGTGATTCAGGTGACACAAAGATTTTCTTCCCCCACCCTCTCTTTTTTTATTTATATGTGTCATCCTATCCTACGTGACCTTGTGTGTAAGCTGTGCGAATGTGTCGCATTCTGTTCTCTTGCTCATTCCTGCTTTTTGGTTGAGCTCTCATTCGGCCCTGGAATGGTAAATTAAGTAATTTTGTTCTGCGTACAGTAAAGTCCCTTAATTTTTTTTTTTTCTTATGAATTGTTATTTTTTTCGCCTGTCATCCATCATTGTTTTCATTTGTAATTTTTTCTTTCTCTCACAATTTCATTGTTTTATTTTTCCTATGTTTTTTTTCAGTATTTTTATTCTCTCTCTCTTTAAGATTTCTTTGTTTACATTTATTTTATTTTATCTTCTCTCAGTTTCACTCTCCTCTTTCTTATTTTGTAAAATTCAGTGTAAATTGGTCAATATTAATCTTTTCTGATATTTTTTTTACCCCATTTGGAATTCAAGAAAAAACAGAAATTAACAAAATATTTTCAAATTAAGGTCAGGATTCATATTTGAATGGGTAATTAACTAAGTAACTCATACATAAAGTAATTGTAAGACAACTACACTGGTTTACTTTTTGGCATATTTTAGCATTTATCATTTTCTTGTGTTTTACAATATCTTTTGAAAGGATTATGTACGATCAGGAATACAAAGAAAAAATGACATTTACTTATTCAGTTTTGCTTTGCACAGGACACTGTTTATGTTAAGGTTAAAAGGTTTGACACATTTATCTTGTAATGCGCATTGGGGAATTAACTGCTTGTTTGAATTTCAAAGCAATAAAATGTTATTAATGCATATTACTTTGAATATTTTAGGTGCATTACTCTCATTCTCATGAGTAGAAAAGGTATTAAAGAATATGAATAACTTTACAAAGCAAGAGACATGATGGTGCATTTTAATCTTTATTTCTATCAGTATTGTATGTTCCGATGGAGATTAGGTTGAAATGTGTCAATTACAGGCATCTTTTGCTTTGTGAAGGTATTCATTCTCATTTCTACCCTTTTCTGCATATGTCGCAATGAACTCAAGTAACTTTCAGTGCTACCTGTGTAAAAATCGATAAGATTTTGTTTTTGTATGTTTATTACCACAGTTACATTGCTTTTACTGATTTTACTACGAGTGTTTAAATTATATCCTCATTTTTTTTTGTTTAGTTAAAGAATGAATCTTTATTTGTATTGATAATACAATGCATTCTTCCAAAGACATCCTATGTTTTGCATCCTTTGTCATATTTACACATCTTTTATAGTGGGAATTTGCCGTACAAGCATGGGACTCCATGGTTGCTAGAATGAAGTGTTAGTAACAGTTGAGGTAACGATGGAAATGACACTAGCTTTGCAGGGTAGACCACACAGAGCTCGTCATTTGCTAGTCTCATATGTAATGGTGTTGATATATGCACAGCACTAATGTGTTTTATTTCCTTTTAATGATTTTGCTTAGTTTTTGACACTTTCCACTCTGTTTAGTTTAATACCCTCAGTCCTATAAATTTATCATCAAATTCTATGTCCATTCTTAGGTAGAACATCAGTATTTAGGTATATAATGAATGAAAAATTCTTTACCTTATGTTACTTGTTTTTACATGGTTGATTGTAAATTCTTGCATCTTGCAGAACAACTTTATTTTTGTTATTATTAAAAACAACTGCAGATTTTCAGGATGAGGGAAAGTGATGTCTTGATGGTGTTTCTAGTAGGTTCACAGGAGACAAATTAAACGTGCATAATTTAATTGTCATTCTTTTATTCGAGAATGTTTTTGTTTAGGCTAAATGGTATTAATTTATGAATGTTACTTAGCAGGAACTGGAGGCCGGTGTGACTTAGGAGTGGAAAGGGTTAGCATTATAACTTACAGTGTGACTGTCGTGAAGATAACTCAGATGATGTTGTTTAGGCATATTGTGTTATGGTTGTTTGGCTATTCAACTAAAGTGATGCTTGATTACTTCACCAGACATTGCACTTTTCATTTTGCTTGTTCACTGACCTAGCTGTGCACTTGGACATCTTGTGTTCTGTTATTGAATATGGTACAGATCCCTAGCAGTACTCTAATTCCATAATATTGTTTGTAGCTTAATTGCAGCAATATTTTTGAAATCACTGATCATCAAGCTTTACTAATAAGTAAATGTTCTACAGCCTTTATAAAGTCTTTCATCAGTATACCACTCCTTCTAAAAAGGAAGAATAAAGGCTTAGAATAAATATTACAGTTTGAAATTCAGCTCTTGTTAATCCTAATCTAAGCATGCTTGCTGCAAGTCTTAAAATATTTTGGAAAAGAGCACAAAAGTTGGAGGAGAAGAAAATGATCAAGTAAGTATACAGTGAAAGACTTGGGATAACAATATCATTCTTGGATTTGCAGTCCTTGCCGCCTCTGATTGGCCGTCTTGTCCCCTTCACGGCTGTAGCGGCCGCCAACTGCGTTAATATCCCTATGATGAGAATGAAGTATGTATATGACCATTTTCTATTGCTGAATATGTTAGATTTATATAGCAGTGATTGATAGTAGTGTGGCTATTTATTTATGAACTTTAAAAGTCAATGGAACAAAAGCAAAGATTTCTCTTGCTACATACCAGTAATTATTTTTTATACATAAGTGAAATTTGAATACATAAGTGTATGTAGTTGTATGAAAGGCCTTTGGGCAAGTTGTATTTTAATATATAATGAAGGTGTGAACTAAAGCAGCTATCATGAAATACAAGTCAATTTGTTATATAATTTATGCTATCTCTTATTTTATGATAAATAATATTGGTAACCTTTTCTATGGAACTTAAAAGTTCTTTGATGACTTCTTTCTGCTATTTCTATTAGAAATCTTTAACCAGTGAAAAGAATATTCCCAGAAAGGGTCTCAAACAAAAGGATTTTTTCAGATAATCACTTATTTTCCCTGTTTTGGAGAAAGGGAAATATAAATTGTGTCAGTGATTTTTTTCCTTCTCAGGTGTCCCTTTATATCTCCTAAGCTTACAGTATATTTCCTTAGAGATTCATTTAGTTTACTCTTGATTTGTCCTCTTCTTCAAAATTTGGAGCTTTAGAACTTTTCCTTGATACAAAGGGATTAGTATTTTGAGATTGGGTTAGAGCAAGGTTGTGATGTTCATGTACTCTGGTGAGCCAGATGTACTAAGAATACATATGGGATTCTGATTCTATAATTAGTGTTAGAAATAAAGAAGCCATTTAAAATATTTTTCAAGCCTAATAAAATATGTTATACATAAAAGACAAGAAGGAAAATTGATTTGTTTAAAAAACAAAGAATTTGATGTAATATTCCTAAGGACAAATGTAAAATCCAATGTGTGGCTGGGGCAGCATTTGGGTCTTGGGCAGCATGTTTGACACCTTAATCTTTCTCATCTTTTCAGTTTTATTAGAATTTTATGTTGATTTCCCTTTTGGTTATTTAATTCTAATATCTTAACAGCTGAATTGCATTTTTTCCTTTATTTTAGTTTCCATTTTTATTCTTTCTGTAGTAATGAAATGACTTTTATAATTCAAGACTATATTTTTTGTTTGATAAATTGCACAGAACATTTTTAAGAATGGCAGGTTTTATTAAATGTTTAGTCATTTTATTTGAATTGTTATATCTTGAAGATTTGATAATTGGTATTTTTTTTAGGGTTTATGCAAAAAAAAAGTATACTGAAAATAGAGTTCTAGTGAATTTCAATAAATGAAAATGCACAGGATAAGGTTTTCTGAAATAGGAAATAGTGCATTGTTATGACTTCTTATTTTTGAAAATCTCTTGGACATAGGAAACTATTATCACTGAGCTTTATCTAGTCACTTCTGCCCTGTGTTGTGTAAACCTCTCCTAGTAGTATAGACATGCATGTGTCTTACAGTGTAGGAAGCTCCACACCACCAACATCTCTCCATGCTAGTACGTTCATTTTCAACAAGTGATGAGCAGCAGCCTCTTGTGTCTTTAAACGATAATCCATTATTTAGGGAGATCCAGGATGGCGTGACGCTCCTGGACAACAATGGTAACAAGTTGGGAGAGAGTAAAACAGCAGCCAAAAAGGGCATTGCGGCTGTGTGTGTCTCCAGAATTCTGATGGCTGCTCCAGGCATGGGTAGGTGTGATGGTTTCCGAGTATCAGATTGAAATTCCTGAAGAATGATATCTGTGGAAGAATATGTAAACATTGTGTGAATTTTTGACTGGATTTTGTTTTTGTTTTTTGTTCTTGGTTACATGGTTGAGTGATGGTTTTTATGATAAGTGGATGATTAATAAGGGATAAGGTGAGGTTAGATGTCATCCAAAGATTTAAACTTCCTTTTCTTTTATTATCTAAAAATTATATATATATTTCTTCACCTCACTTGTGTTAGAATGGATTGCACATGTGTTTTACTGGAATAAGAAAATATTTTTTTGAGCATTGCTTTGAAACTGATTTAATTATATCAGATCAATTTCTTGCTAATTGACAATTAAAAAGTTCACCTGGTGAGATAGAAGTCATTTACATGCATCTTCTAGTATTGTACTTATAAAGAAATTTGTATATAGATTTTTACTTTTGATTTGAAAGGGGAAAAAATTGAAGAGCTGCCTTCGTAAGCTTTTTCTTTTGTTCTTATTTTTGTTTTTTTTACGATTGTGGGATAATTTTTCATGGATGATTTTCAACACGTGTATTTGAAATGATTTTGTTTTTGTTTTGTTATTTTTTAGAATAAGTTATTATCTGCTTGATACTGTAAAACCAGTCATTTTTAGAATGGCCAGATCGTTTGATCTGTTTATGTAAGGGGATTGTGGCAGCTAATTAATATTTGAATTGTACTTTAAATTAAAGTAAATATGTATTGAGCCGCTAAACTAAATTATGTCACATTATTATGTTTAGAAGTATTACAAAGATGCTGCATTGATCTTCTGAATTTCATGATAAGATAAGTCACTGAGCTTGGCTTTTGTGGTATTTTGTATAGATACTCTTGCAATTGCATTGTGTATAGATATAATGTTTTTTAGGAAGGGAAAAGGTAGCAGAAAAATGAAGGTAAGGTTGAGTTTATTTTCAATGAATACGTAAATGCATTAGGCAAACAGGATTGGATTCGTTACATAATGTTAAGGTAAGTTTTTGGTGTGTTTGAATGATTTTGAGGTGAAAAGTACTGCTCTTGTCAGAATCAAAATTTCAGCTACAAAAGCCCATTGTCTTAATAAGATATCCTCAGCTGACTAGAGTAATGGGGAAAAAAAGGAAGCTTGCATAGAGGGTGCGGTGTTTCACTTCAATATAGAAGCGTTCCGAGTTAGCAACCAACGACGTCAGTCTAATAGAAAAGGTGTATGAAAAAACATGCTCTCTCTCATTGTTCACTTTAATGGCCTGCTGATTTTTGAAACAGAGGAATCATTATGCTGCAGCCAGGTAGATGGGTAATGAGCAGACATGGGCAGTAATGAGTGTACACTTACTGTATACTTAATCAGTAATACTGGTCAAGTTATTATCTACAATACTTGAGCTTTTATAGAAGATTACACTTTATAACCTCAGTTAATGTGAGCCTAATTGCAAAATTTAAGAATCTAAAGAAAAAATTAATGATTTCTTTTTCTAAATTTTTTCTTTGCCAAGAGCAGATTTTTTTCACCCAATCCCTCCCCCACCTCTGATCTCTTTTATTTTGTCGCATAAGAAGTAAATTGATAATTAGAGTGAATATTATTTAGTATTATTTAGTGTGTCATTGCCATTATTGCATTTAAGCCTCGTATTTAGAAGTAGGAAATGTTAATAATAGATAGATTTTTTGCCAAGAAATTCGCACGACTTGGAACTTGGAAGAGTTTTGTTTTTTGCTACGTAATATATGGAACCCAGATATTTTAAGTATTTCTTATGTAGATGTGCCATTGCTATTGATGAATTTTGTAAATGTGAAGTAGAAAGTGCTTGTAAAAAATAGCTCTAGTTGTGTAGTCGATAGGAACTTGAAATAGTTTCGTTTCTGCTAGTGAAAATGTGAAGCTCAGATGATATAAAAAAAACAAGATGATAGAATATAGGTTCTTCTTCTTCTTCTCTTCTTTCTTCTTCTTCTTCTTCTTTTCTTCTTCTTCTTCTTCTTCTTCTTTCTTCTTCTTCTTCTTCTTCTTCTCTTCTTCTTCTTCCCTTCTTTTCTCGTCCTCTTCTTGTTCCTCGTCCTCTTCTTCTTCCTCCTCTTCTTCCTCTCTTCTTCTTCTTCTCTTCTTCTTCTTCTTCTTCTTCTTTCTTCTTCTTCTCTTCTTCTTCTCTTCTTCTTCTTCTTCTTCTTCTTCTTCTTCTTCTCTTCTTCTTCCTTCTTCCTTTCTCTTCTTTCTCTCTTCTTCTTCTTTCTTCTTCTTCTTCTTCTTCTTCTTCTTCTTCTTCTTCTTCTTCTTCTTCTTCTTCTTCTTCTTCTTCTTCTTCTTCTTCTTCTCTTCTTTTTCTTCTTCCTTCTTCTTCCCCTTCCTTGCTCCTCTTCTTGTTCTCCCTCTTCCTTCTTTCCCTCTCTCTCTCTCTTTCTTCTTCTTCTTCTTCTTCTTCTCTTCTTCTTCTTCTTCTTCTTCTTCTTTTTTCTTTCTTCTTCTTCCTCTTCTTCGCCGTTGTAAGTATATGATGTAACGGAACAGCTGTTACGTGTTGTTTGCTCAGTTATGGAGCTTAAGAAGATTTTTATTATTATTTTGTGTGACTTATTTTGATGCTATACTTAATTTTTTTGTAAGTATTATGCTAGGAAAAGTTTTTTTTCTCTTTATTTTCCCCAGTTCATCTGTGTTTCTTTTGCTTCTTGTCCTAAACTTCATTATTTATTGATATTCCTCAAATTGTACTACATATACATCACCTGTTTCTTTGTATATAGATTTTCACTGCTCCGATAAATCTTTTGAATATGGGAAGAATATAGAAAAATAAAAAGAATGTTTTTAAAAGTAATGATGGAAGGGAGAATCTGAGATATGGGAAGGATGTATAAGGTATAAGTACTCTAAAGGAGAATGAAAAATTAAAGGCGATGGAAAATAGCCTAAAAGAAATAGGAAAACAAGGATGTATAAAAGTCTGTGGTAAACTATGGAAGCAAGTAGGCAAATAGATAAGTATATGAAGTAAGACAATATAAATGAAGGGAATTCATGTAGTTCATCATAATTTCATGCTTCATATAGTATGGTAGGAAAGTGGTATTGTAAGTTCTGATGGAAAAGAGAGAGAGAGAGAGAGAGAGAGAGAGAGAGAGAGAGAGAGAGAGAGAGAGAGAGAGAGAGAAGAGAGAGAGAGAGAGAGAGAGAGAGAGGAGAGAGAGGAGAGAGAGAGGAGAGAGAGAGGATTAAGAGAAAGAGGGAGAGAGAGAAGGGATTAAGAAAGAGGGAAGAGAGAGAAGTGGGATTAGAAAAAGAGAGAGAGAGAGAGGAAAGAGAGAAGAGAGAGAGAGAGAGAGAGAGAGAGAAAGAGAGAGAGAGAAGAGAGAAAGAGAGAAGAGAGAGAGAGAGAGAGAGAGAGAGAGAGAGAGAGAGAGAGAGAGAGAGAGAGAGAGAGAGAGAGAGAGAGAGAGAGAGAGAGAGAGAGAGAGAGAGAGAGAGAGAGAGAGAGAGAGAGAGAGAGAGAGAGAGAGAGAGAGAGATGATTATTCTTTTTGTGTACATGTGTTATCATTATTCATTTATTTCATCTGTTATCTGATGAAAGAGAGCAGGAGACCTTTTTGCCAAGAATAGCCAGGATTAGCAAATTTCGGTAATACTCATCGTGGATGGTGTTCTTTGTACGATGCAGAGAGTGGAAGGAAAATGGTGTGATCCTCCTTGATAAAGACAACAACGCTATTGGTGCTAGTAAAGTTGCGGCAAAATGGGGGGTGGCCATGGTGACCATCTCCAGGATCATGATGGCTGTGCCCAGTTGCGGTAAGGTGGTGTGCGCATCCGCTTGGTCCGGCATGAGGACTGGAAGATGTGGTTGATTTGTGGCCCTTTTTTTTTTTTCTTTTTTTTTTTTATTTGATAACTGAATTGTTTCTTATTGTTTTGTATGACGGCTTTAGTAGAGGTGTGATAATGAAATAGGTAATGAAGATTTGGACCTTCTGTAGCTTGTGAATAGCTGGTAGTGACAGTGGAGTTAAGTAGTGTTATTGCATGTGGATTGTTTCAGGCAGTTCATGTTGTGTAGATGAATATATATTTTACAGTATAGACTCTAGCTTTCAGTTCAGCTCATAGAGCTAATTAGCCTGAATTACTTATTTATTTTAGCAAATATTTCATGCATGTTAACATATAGTAGAGCTGTCTACTTCAGACTGTTAAATTTATGCAGTTATAGTACATATTTGAGTTATATATATTACACTAAAATGCATGTATTCTAAGAAAGTACTTTGGTAGAGATTTTGATTATATTGATTTATGATATATAGATCAAACTTTGCTATGGAAGTAACTATGAGTTCAATAAAAAAAAATTAAGGTAGGTTATTGTGTTATGTTATAGTATCCATGATTGTTGCAAGTGATTGCACAGCACCTACTGAGCAATAACACACCACTGTTCATGGTATACCTTTAGCCATGAACGTAATGTATCATTTCTAGGAATTACAGGCTTTCCTATATATACTTAAGTGTATCATGTGAAGGTTGTGACTTTCTATTTCTTTCGCCAGTCCTGCCACCCATTCTGATGAATGCGCTTGAGAAGCGGGGGACACTAAGGAGAATGCCTTGGATCTCGGCTCCTCTCCAGGTGGGCCTTTGCGGTTTATGCTTGACCTTTGCCACGCCCGCCTGCTGTGCGCTCTTCCCCCAGAAGGCCTCGATTGCTGTATCGAGTTTGGAGCCGGAAGTTCAGGTAGGAAGGGTCCTGTTTGGGATGTGATAGGGATGTGT